TTCCGATCTTTTTTCAAAGCTTTTAAAGTTATACCATTGGTGTGGTCTTCACTTCTTTATCCATTTCTCCTAACAAAGGCAAAGCTGTCATCATCTCAGAACTATTGCTTTCAGCACATTCTCGCTTTATCATAGGAGGACTATAATCCATGTAAAGATAGTCTTCGCAGGTGAGTAAAACAGGCAAATTTGTTGTCAGAATTGCTATTTTCTCGTGTGTGTTCAGGTGCGTTAAATACTTCATCAAATCTTAGTAGACTAGCAAGCGCAAACTGGAATACCGACTTGTTTTTCATCCTCTGTTTTTTTAATATGTCCACAAGCTTTATCCTCGGTTTCTTCTTGTACCCCAGAGCAATCTCGAGCCCAGAGTCTTCACGGCTAAAGTCAGCGGTATTTCACGAAAAACCAACCTCGTCCCCAGGGCCATCTCGGCCGACTCCTTTTCAAGATGGCGGTCGTCGGGGAGATGACCCTGGCGTTGGCTGGACTAAGCCACTTTCTGATTGGCTATTCAAAATGCCTTTTCTTATATCACTCATTATTGGCTGTTTATGTTCGTCTATAGGTCGGGATGTGTTCGACACTGTCGGTATGTCCGGATAACCGTTAGGTCTTTGATCGGTTATTGATTTAACCGTTACGATGCGTTCATTGTTTTTATTCAAATATTCCCGAAATTTAATTAAGGTACGTTTTGTCGATTAAAAAGCAACGATATTCTTTGGAATTCTTGTCAGTTGTCCTCTTATGTCTCTCTTGTCCAATATGTGGTTTGGAGATGCCAACTACTCGTGTAAGAAATTTAACTTGACGGATATATTTAGCGATAGCATTCTACTCGCCGATTTCTGCAGTGAGCGGATCCCTCAAGAATTCTAGAATGAACTGGATCTACTCCCGTAGGCGGTCTAGGGGTCAACACTGCCGATGACGGCAGGACGGAAGGACATTTTTCAAATCATCAAAACCCAGTTTGTGAAACCGTTGAGTTCACGTTTCGAGCGCCATTTTGAATAGATAAGCCACGTGATCAAAACCTCCAAAAATCTTGGAGGTTTTGATCACGTGATTCCAGCCAACGCCAGGGTCATCTCCCCGACGACCGCCATCTTGAAACGGAGTCGGCCGAGATGGCCCTGGGGACGAGGTTGACGAAAAACGTCATTACGAGCGGGAAAAAATGAAAAAATTGGAAAACGTTGTCAAGAACTGGTCTGTGGCAAATGTTGGGAGACTAGGTTCGAGTGATTTGATTGGCTGAAATAGCCGGTTCGGATTCTTCTCTCAATTTTATTTTTCGGCAAAAATTTGTGCGTAGTTTTTGGTATTTTTTTGTCAAGTTAGAAGGAGTTTTTGGTCAGAACTTCCAACTATGTAATTCCTTGGAAATTTAGCAAGTGGATGCGAGCTTTGAAGGCGAATTTTGCTTTAAAAGAGGTTTGGTTTGGTGACTCATTCATGCCCATGCTGCATTCTTCGTTGGACTTTTCGCGCCATTTTTATCAACAAAACACAAGAGAAAAAGCTGATTTTGGATATCTTATACTGTTATTCAAGAACGTAGACTATGCCTAAGCCACAATACAAGTCCTGAGCTTTCCAATGATGATGCATTCGTCTCCAGTTAAGTCATGACTTATACAAACGGCTTTCAGGCGTTTTTTTCTAAGTAGAAGAAGATTGACATTTCTTCAAGACTTCGACATCATTCTTCGCCACTACTTTGCAGAAAAAAATTGTTTAACCGCCAGCTATCAAGGTTAAATGCTAATTATGATATTCCGAAAAAGTCAACTTGACTTGAGATGTATTTATTTTTTAAACAAATCAATGAACATTTTTCAAAATTCAAAATAAACCGTACAGCATTTGTTAGCAAAATGGCGGTAATTTCGTCACTCTTTCGAGTTAGCTTTGCAGCGAAACCTTCATAATTTCTTACTGGTTGTTCTTAAGCTCTAAAAATATAGCCTAAGCCACGGAGGATAACTTTAAGAATACGTTGGTTGTTATTGCTCAATTAGTCTCTTTTTGTAGAGAACAAACTTTGTTTTGAAAATCTATTGTTTATTGTTGTAAATCGGCGAAAAACTCGCAAATGTTTGAAATCCCATTAAACTTATCTTGAATTTATTCTACTTGTTGTTGTGTCTGTTTATATTTTCTTCTCTTATACTTGAAAATGTGAATGAAATTCGTTTTTCCTTGAATTAAAACAGCGATTAGTCTTTTTTATCCCTATTTTTGAGCTCAAATCACCCCAAGGCGCGTTGTATTTTCATGTTTGTTTTTGACAAGCTTCCACGAGCTTCGACAKCGATGTACGAGTTGTATTCGCGTGGTCCTGGAACCCAGTGATATTTGCCACAGACCAGCAAGAATGCCACGGATGCAACAATGATGCAGTAGTAGTTTTTGAGGAAGACAGTGGTAAGTAATACAGGAAACTGAGATCACAATTACTATTTTTATGAGTTGTTCTGAACTGAATTGAGGTTGAAAAGATGCAATGTTTTCGCTCATAAGTTTGACGATTTTTTCCTGTGAACTTCTATTCAAGATCAAACATCAAGTCAAGAAAATATTTTTGATAGTATGAGCAAATGACTTATTGAAAAAACAACTTTATTTTTTCTTGAGTACCTTGAGTTTGAGCCGTTTGCAATTGTCAAAGTCTGTATCTGTTAATGTTTTCTTTCGTGCACTTTTCCGGCAGCGAATTTAGTTCAAAATCACTTCGTTCAAACTAACGATGCAGCAGTGTGAGCTTCTTTTTGTGAACAACAAAATAAAAACAGAATTTCGAATATATTATGTTTTAACAGTGAATAAAGTACTTTTCAACTATTTTATTGAGTTTGTTTAAGCTTGTTTACATTCTAGTCTATTCTAATTTCGCTTTATTCATAGACAAAACTCCATCAAAAAAAGATCAGAAAGACGAAGAAGAAAGCATAATATTGATGATTGTCTARGAGCTACAAACATCACAAGAACAGAACTCTTGGAGGTATGACAATAATATTTTATCGAGTGGCAGACAACGTGTCTTAGTGGTTTTACTCTACTAAAGCTTGAGTTTGATAGTTTTTGTGATTTGACCAACGAAAATCTGTTGGTATCAGCTGTCAAACTACTTCCCCATTTTATTTCGTGGTTTGAGAGCTTCAGGATGCTCGGATGTTTTTAGGATATGTAGAAATAACAGAAAGCACTTTTTTAAAGACTGTCCTAAAATTGGCTTGATTTTATTCTGACTGGTAAACCTTTCAGAAACGACCAGCAGCCTTACCAACAATTTGAACAATTCAACGTTTGCACGTAAAACAAAGAAAAGGGTGAACATAATAATACCTTTCCATAGATGGTCGTTACTAACGACGGAGCGGCGTCTGCATTTTTTGTTCTTTCTCGATGAAAAAAGTTGATAATCAAAATTACTTCGAGGTTTTGCAGTTCTGGTGGAACGATCTGTGATTTCTGAAAACAAGAAATAATCCGTCAATAATAAATAAAAACAAGATTAGTTGCGATGAAATTTCAGGACATATTGTGAAAAAAGAATTCTTACCTTTTTTGTTGGTGGAAGCAATTTTGAATCCATTGCGAGGATAGTAGATCCTGATCACAATGATCGTGGTAGCCGCTCCAACGACAGTAGCGATACATGTGTAAATATTGAATAAATAGTATACTATGATCTCTGGGATCATTTTATCGTTTCGTTCGCTTCATCTTTAATTGATGAAATGACTAGTGACGTCAATCGCATTATGATGTCATCTACGATACGTTACGTCATAATATTTTGCGCGTGCAATTTCTTCGATTGCAATTGATCTCTGATTTTTTTTCCTTTACCAATGTTGTAAGTTTTTGAACAATCGAAGATAAATGCCGTTGTCATGACACTTTTTTTAATCAGTTTTCCAGAGACATCCAGCAATGTCGTATATTTTAACTCTCAATCCTTTCGATGTCGTACCCGAGGCTCGTCAAAAAGTCAAGCCGTTGGGAACTGGGTACATGTCATAGCGATAGCTAATCTCTTTTACCTGTGATTTTGTGTTCATTTTGGAAGTGAGAGTTTGAGTAGTTGTGAGTATTGTGCGCTATTTAGTGAAAGTTCTATTGATAATAAAGAACAGAAACCTACACAATTAAACTGGTACATTTAAGTGACAAGACAATAGCCCTTTACGCTGTAAATAAAAAATAAGCTGCGCGAAGTGCCTGTTTTTTGCACTAAAGGGAGGCGGAATCGGAGTAATCGGAAAACCCAAAATTGTCCTTTTTGAGCTTCTTTATCTTTTTGCAATGTCAGAAAAATAACTTTTGCTTGTGAAGCTTTGATTTTAACCGCGAAAGGCCCTACTGGATATGGCTACAGCATGCTGAAAAATGGCCAACAATTATTTGAGAAACTTGATATTTTAATCAATTAATCGCTTTTTTACCGTGATAAATGAAAAATAAAAAAACTGAATCACGGACACGAAAACACACGGAAAATTTTGATTTTAGCTTTTCTCAAACATTAGTTACATTCCAAACGCATTCTGCGTTTTTAAAGCGTTCAGGTGTTCTAAAATGGTTTTTGTTTCACCCTATTTACAATATTCTTACTACTGAAAATAGAAAGCTCTACTATCCCGCTCGTAAGAATGGAAATTCAATTAAAAGTTATTTTGACTAATTCCTTTACTAATTCCTTTTGTGTCAAGTAATAGCTTCATAGATTCAATGCATAAAGTGCTCTCGAAGCTCCTCAAAATGCTGGACTTCGCATTTCCGAGGTTCACAATGTGAAAAATTCTTGCCCGCCTACTTGATCCAGTGTTCAGTAGTCGTTAGCCCCTCTGGAACCAGGGTAGATAAGAACTGCGCTGACCGTAGACTTTTACTCCACTACTGTTTTTTCCAAGTTTTACTACATTGCAACAAACTGGTCTTTCCTTAAACTGTTATATAACCAAGGTTAATAAATAAACATTTAAAACTTTTCCCACAACATTTAATAATAATATTTATTGCTTAAAATATACTACATCTCCTTTTAAACGCTTCTTTTACTTAGTTGATCTGTATACATACAACTTGTCTGTGTAGTCATTTGGAATATTTATATTTTGTTTTTGGTTCCAAGTTACCATGCAATGTGTTGCGACGCCATTTTGGGGACAAATAAAAGTAAGGAAAATGTAGTCCTTGCACAATTCCAGCTACAACTACTATTTTCTTTACAAAAACTTAAAAACTGCTAAATTTTTGTTAAGAAAACACGAAAATGGTAAATATTCACAAGGACTCCATTGACCGTTGCATTGTACGAGAAAATGGTGTCGCAGCAGCAAATGACCCATTCTGTATTACATAATTGTTTTTACATGTTGTTACCGTGGGAACTGACTGCGAGTAAACTAAATTACACTTCAAAATGGGATGCATTACACCCTGTCTACACTCGCATGCTATTAGTGAGATAAGACTCCTGCTTGGTGGACACATTAAGCTGTGCTTTGAAACTCTAGTTTCACTTATCAGTGCTGGTGAAATCTAATAATACAAATAAATAAATCTAAACCAACAGACTTTGAAATACTTATTACTTATTCACTTAGGTGAATTGCCCTATTTCATTATGACGTCACAGTATGTTTGCATGGGAACACGATGCTCAAAACAGTGGAAATTTGGACCAATTTATATTGTCTACTAAAGTAGAACTTCAATGAATCGTGTTTTGATATATATCGTGTATAAATGATTGTTCATGTACATTTTATTTGAAATGCAGTCACTCTGTTCCCTTCTGGCGACCATAATCCTTAGCGTTAAAACAATAGAATGTTTTGATGTGACGTCATAATGAACTAGGTCAATTCATCACCTCTCTGATGAAGGCTGAAGTAGATTAGTATGGATAACTCTTTTGTTTTTGGTTGTTATTTGCTATATGATACTATGAACTGTCTGGCTGTATGTATTCTAGAGGACTGTGAGAAGAGGAACCCATTGATGACACTGATGATGTCTGTTCTTGTGAAGGTGTAGATGGGTTGGCACTAGCAATACGATCTACCAACGCTGAATGAAGTTCATGGATGGCTTCAGGATGCTGAAAACATATTCAATCATTATCATATATGATCTCAGCCTAAATTCAATATTCTGATTTAATGATCATGGAAAAAGAACTCAGGCTTCAGGGAAACAAAAGAAGATTTTGTAATGTTTTACGGAGCCTCATCTTCAATTCTTTTGTGCTTGGTAAGTCATTGACAGTTGGTTATTGGATGGAAGGCCCGAGTTAGGAGGACAAACGTTAAAAGAATAACATGTAAAAAGTGCTGGGTATATAGCAGACTCTATGTCTACAATGTCAGTTACATGTACTATTGAACATTTATATCATAATGACAATCGTGTCTGTGGTTTTAGAGTGGTTGTCCTTCAGCCATGAACGAATTAATGCTTATAGTCATTACTCATAATGCATTCTGATTGGTGGTATTATCCAAGACACTATGTACTACCACAAATCCGACATTCTGATTGGCTATAGAACTATAATCTAGACCATAGTCTTTTTAACATTTGCTGTTAATAGTCCATCTGGCAAAGTATGTCCTCAGGGGCTATTAGCTTGTAATTACTTGACCACATGGTTTGTTACAAATAGATCATTAGTACAGAAAAAAGTGAGATCAAAAGTCTTACCTCACTTTCTGGTTGAGTTGCAGTAAGAATCTGTACAACTTTATGTGAGTAAATCTTAGGATACACAAACCAAAGCAGCCTCAGAGTATGTCTTATGGCTGCAGTCTGTGACGTCAGACCAAGTAGAAAGTTATCAAATACAGCATTACAGAAATCAGCATTAGCAAACTCATCTTGCATTCCCACCAACGATGTGACTAGGGTGTGCAGCTCAATCTCATCTAATGGTCTTGATTGACAGGGAGACACAAACCATGGCAGGACATGTAATACAGAACCTCTGCAAGATAAATACATAATATGCTACTAAAGGACTTGAGAAAATGAAAGAAAGGGAGAAAATAGCAAATATTTAAACAAAATTTAAAAGAAAGATGAAAGAATAGAAGCACACAAGAAATGAAATAAATGAAAAGAAAAAATGGGAAAAGAAAGAAAAGAAGAAAGTATGATAAGTTAGATTGCAGCAAGAAAAAATAAATAAATAAAGGTAAATTAAACTTGGTTTCAGAGGCTTGATTTTCTCCTATAGTTCTTATAGTTAATTTTGGCAATTTTACTTTTCAGCCAATAATATCGCTTTGATATCTACGGACCAATCAGTTGCAGCATCCACATCTTGAATGTAAACACTGGCATGGAAGTGAGATTTACTATCTATGCCACTAGAGGTTTATGGTTTAGCCTTAAAGATGGTGCTCCTCATCATGAATAAACTATAAGAGTAAATCCAACCTCTGGAACCCAGGGTAAAGGAGAAGGGTTTGTCGTACGACTTCCATATATGGTTGTGCATGTACAGCGCTGATGTGCACATAGAAGCCGCTGATGTGCTCGTAGAAGTCTCTGATGTCCCAATTATGTGGAGARGAACTTARAAAAWTTCAAACACTTAAACTTAAACCGAAAAGAAATTTTTGAAGAACGAATACTAAGATTCGAACCAGCGCTATGCATTGCCTAACCCGATATATTCCCTAAACCTAACCATTCAGCCACGAGACCAATTCGCTTGAGTGAACCTGAATTTTTGTGATATTTATGCAACGGCATGCATGAATAACCACGCACATAAGATTGAATATATAATTAATTAACCATCTATAGGGACATGAGAGCCTTCTGTAGATACATTAGAGCCATCCATATGGACATCCATATATGGAAGTCGTACGACAACCTCTACTCGGGTAAAGATAAATAGAATGAGCAAAAATATGATCTCAAATTCTTTCAAATGATGTTATGTAATATTAGACATTCAATGATATTAATATCTCAGGCATCCAAAGTAGTAGCAAAATGAATAAAAGAACTTGCTGTAGATAACTTGTTCATACTTGTCTTTTTGCTTGAGCAGACTCAGTAGATAGCACCAAGACAGGGTAAAGGCAACTTTATCAGTGGCCAGCATATCCATGAAGTCTTGAGCATGTTTGTGACCAACTGTCAACAGTTCTTCTTCAATGTCATCTTCTGGTACTTTATCACTGTAGGTCCTCAGTGAGCTATCCACCATCAACGACATGATGAAAGGAAGAAACTTGTCGGCCAGATCTGGATTCTAGGAAAAACATATGATTTATTTATATAATTCATATAAGTAATACATAAAATACTATGAAAGAACCACTGAGGATGCCACAAACCCAGGCCATGACCACACTCAAGTCACTGACTCACTCTAAAATCTGTGTCTGCAGTAAATAGTACTGTAGTTGCAAGTGACAGGGCAAAAGGCAATAACAAATATCATAGTCAAAGTAATAGAACAATGCCAACTTTCCACAGGAATACCAACAATGAGTTTGGCTTGACTCCATGGAATTATCACACTTCTATATATTTTTCACTAAAAAAGAAAATATAATGTACAAAACACTTTTCCAGCATACTAGCATGACGTACCACTGGCTGCTCTTTAAAGGCCTGCTTTTCTATCATATCCCATGCACCAACACCAAGGCTTAACAACCGCAGCAAAAAGTTTACATCATTGTTGGTCTATCATAAACAACAACAATAATAAATAATATAAAAATATTAACCAAAAATGTGTTTATAAAATTCTGTAGTATCAATACCAGCAAAATTGACTTTATCTTTTAACTGGAGACATCCAGATTGTTTAGAATTCTGCCTTAACATGTACCAGTGATTACACAAAAACCATTCTAAGTCTGGACAGAGAGCTATAAACCGTACGCAAGACTTCTGTTTCCAGTTTATACAGTGTCCCAGAGCCTACAATAGTCTGCTAGGTTCTGTGTCTGAGAATGTCATTTCAACATGATAACTATAGGAAATGACACAACCTTAGAGTACAATTTGGAATAAATAGACCAGAGTAATGTTTTGAAAGTTCTTTGTAATTGCATGAGACTGATAGGACAAGTGCATTCTGAGAACTTTCAAACATTACGAGTGACTATTAACTCCAAACTGTACAAGAAGTTGTGTAATTTTTTGTTTATAGTACATTCAGTGAAACAAATTTTATAAGGAGTACAATTAACGCTGTAATTGTGTGTGAAAAAGTAGTATTTTTTTGAGTGTACTATAAAAGGACATATAATAATAATCCATACTCACTCTAGGAAGGGTTTCTGAATGAACCAGTCTTTGAAGCAGTTTGATAATACTTTTTGCTATGGTATTTACAGCAAATGGATCACATAGTATCATGGCAATATCACTGTAGAACAAAACAATACCATGAATCCCAACGGCTCTCTAGGTATTTAAATTTCTAAATTCCCTCCAAAAATATAGCATCTTACTACTAGTTCCAAGCAACCATGGAGTCAATTTGCAGTTAATTAAGCATTTTGGCTATGAATTCAATATTATAGTGAGAGTTTTTTTACAACAAATCACTTCTAGTACTTATGAAATCTGATACCAAGAGACATGACACAACAAGAACCCTGACCCTAGTAGAAATCCTTAGTGGCCTCTACTCCTCCCACTTATAAGTGTCTAATTTTCCATGTCAGCATTCTAGAAATTCAGCAAAGACTCAAGGTGAATCTACTGAATCAATTGCAAATTAGGTCAGCTTAAATTTTGCTATCCATTTCAGGACATGAAAATGAAAAAAAATATCTAATTTAGGCATGGTGCAAAAATGTGTGAAAATTGTATTTGAGGTAATGAGAAAAATGTTCTTTTTAATGAAGCAGGCACACGCTGGCAGCCTGGAAAACCAAACTTGAAAGCAATGCACACTCACTCATTTTCAGATAACCATGAATCAAGAAACAATGGAATCTTCCAGAGTTTCTGACACATTGGCTTCTGTTGGATGGCAAGGTGAGGGCTTGTCATGATTCCCCATACATACCCTACAACACGTTCTTCTTCCTTTTTAGCAGCGTCAAGGAACCCATGTAATTCTCGTATTCTTTTCCCTTCAATATTCTTTTCTCTAATACAAGCATCTAAGCACCATGTAAACTTATGACATGGGTCAATGTCTTTGATATCTTTTACTTCTAGATCATGAACAGCCATTAACAGCTCTGACCGCAGAGTACAGTAGTGAACTTCATTAGCTCGAAGGAACAATGTTCTTAAAAACTGTAAGACTAAATTATAGAGCTGCAAGGACTTTCCTATCATTTTTGCCAGATCCTGGACAACTGAATTTTGACGTCTAACTTTAGATGAAATAGAGAAAAAGTCACTGCATGAATGGGCGTCAGTAGCATGCAGTAGAGTATACTTTGCTTCTAGGTATTGCTTTAACAAAGGCCCTACTGCATCTCCAAACAGATGGTGATGTTTTACCCATATTTGTCTTTTGACTTCTATTGTGCAGTCTTCGTAAAGTTTTGTGTCATTAGCTATGTGCTCAAGGCACTCATCGCTCACTTTAGGAAGATATTTCATGATCTGCATGACAACTGGTCTAAGTTCTTCCACGTGAATAAAAGGAAATGATTGTTCTAAAAGCTCTTTCAACTTAGACTCTTCTAGTGTCTTCAGTTTTCGCAGGACAGTATCTTTTAAGTGATCCATCACCGATGTATGAAACTCCAATCTTCCAACACCATGTAAGTCAAGAAAAGGCAGTGCTGATTGCAGCGATGGCAAGAGAACTCCATTGTCATGTTGAAAGTTCTCAATGGCGGCTGCCAAGTCAGGAGAATTCGTCAAAGTTTGTCGAATATATTCACAACCAGGCAAGCCAGCACGCTCAAAGCCCGCCATGACGAACTTAAGTGTTTGAACTAAAAATTCAGGTAAAATTCAAGAACTGAAATCAAAACTACCTACTTTGAGGACTATTTTTGCTGGAGAATCATTTATTCGCCATTTGGCGGACATCGGCCGAAGCCGAATGCGCATGACTGTTGAGCGATCGCGCGTGGTGATGGGATTTTTATAGTCGCCATCTTGGATTAGAACTCAGTCCTCGCGGAGGAGTACAATTCAAAATGGTAGACGAAAATAATGCAAAGGTTGATGAAAAAGTCTTGCAGTATGAAGAATTTATCGATAAAAGGCTTAAGAAAGACCTCGAGGCAGTATATAAAGCAAAGGAGGATTTATACAATAAGATTAATGAACATCTTCAGCTAAAATCTACAATAATTCAGATTAAAAAGTCGAGGAGTTTGGGTGAAAAGAACGACTTGAAAACTATGGTGGATTTGGGGAACAATTTCTTCTGTCAAGCTAGAGTTCCTGATACGTCAATGATATTTGTTGCTGTGGGTTACGGATTCTATGTGCAGTTTAGTTTGGATGAGGCATTAGCATTTATCGAAAAGAAATGCATTTTATTAAATAACTCAGCTGATAAACTAAACAAGGAAGCAGCGAAGATAAAAGCTCATATAAAAACAGTTTTGGGAGGATTGCAAGAGCTACAGCACTTAGGAAAATTAAATGAATAGTAGTTAAAAGGTACGCTATAGGAGAATGAAAGTTATTGCGAAATAAGTTATAGTCACGCTTGTTGTTTATAGAATTATTGGAAGTATGATGCGCGTATGTTCTCTTATTCGACATAGCAATGATCAAAAGTCAAGAGGAACCATGATTACAAATCCCTGCAAAGTTTTGATTATTGAAAAGACCACCAGAAAAATGACAAATTCTCACAGTTAGTCATTTTCTGTCAAAGTAAGCAAGTGTTATGTTAGTCCCCAGTCCTCCTGGCAATTTCAATCTCAATGGAAATAGATTTGCACAGGTAGTACCTGACAAATTTTTTTTAGTTTTGCCTTCAGTTCAGCTAAGTTTCTGTTCTGCAGTATCTCAGTCCATTCAGCAACAGAAAATCAAAGGCGCTATAGAACACTTTCATAATTGCCTACCATTGATTTTATACAATTGACAATATTATGGAAACATTCAGTACTGTTATATGAGAAAACTATCACAAATAGCTATTTGTGGAAAGTTTTCAATCTATGGACAAAATACTAACAAAGTTTATGGAGGAATAAAAATACAAGGATTTGTATGGAATTCTTCGCTGAGGCCTTGGTAGCCTCGTGCTGGTTCACCCTTATAACTTCAAGAGGATTTAATTTTTTTCTGTGAAACTTTCAGAACTTATCTTTAGCTTTGATATCTATCATCTGAGTGTTTTCTTTTGTCAACATTTTGAATTTACTGTAACAATAATACAATGTATGCTAATCAGTGTGTGCCATTATGAAAGTCATCAGTGTGACAGATGTCATTATATCAGATGGTAAAATTGCTGTCATTATATCAGATGGTAAAATTGCTGTCATTATATCAGTGAGCTCAATTGCAGGTCATCATTATTACCTACATTTCATTGTCTAAATGAGCTTGAAGACATTCTTTGGATGGCTGATGTTACCTTGTTGGGACCTTGTAGGTAATTTAGGACATTGCTGACATGGTTTCTTTGAGCTTACTGGCAATTCCCACCTAAGCACCTAAGCCCAGTCTCTTCACAACCTCTGTGACTCATGACAGAAACTAAACACTGCTACGAGGAGACAACTATTGATGGTGAATTTTAAATGAGATTATAAATGCAATATTAACCCTTTAATACGCAAATTTCTGGGGAATTTTTAACCGATTTAAAGATGAAAGGCTTAAAATAACGATTTCAGCACTGATTTCACGGTTGTCAAGGGAACTGATGCTGATTTACATAGCCAAACATTCAAAHTCTCGAGGRATGCCTGCTAAGTTTTTGCTTGTGTCTTTGAATAGCGAACAGCTCGTTCAAAACACAGAAAAACTTGGTTTTTAAGTGTTTTTTAAAGTCATACTCAAGCACAAGAGCCCCTAGACTTGCATTATTAAGCTTGGCTAGTCGGCAGAGGCGCTCTTCTGGAAGAAATCAGAGGTGGGAAGCGATTTTGCGAAGAAAATGGTTTAAAGCCGATGGCGCCATTGGAGTGAAATCGACTCCCTGGCTGTCTTGTGTTTGATTTTGCGACCTACCATGCAAATTTCGGCAAGTTTGGACTTCCAAAAAAGCAATCGGCTCAATATTTTGTGGGTAGGACCGCATGACTTGGCACTTAAAAAAAATATTAAAAATGCAGAGTACGGGTTAGTTCTTGTCGAAAAAATACGCAWTTASCCATAAATCTGTGCRASTGTGACCCAAGAAAACATGTAAGTCGGGGAGTGGACCTAAAGAAAGGAGCGTTTTCTCGGCTTACTGAATAAAACAATAGACAATAAACTGACCAATGTKAAGTCAATGTGTCAAACGTCTTGAAAAAGTTGAGTTTCGGCATGAATGTAAGGATTTTGAGCAGTAGAACTGGCAAGAATTCAAGCCATTCTCTAGTGTCCATGTCTAAATTGTAAGCGTGCGCAGCTCAGATCTCACCAAAAGAAAAGTGACTGTAATGGTCACGAAAAAGAAGCAGAAGTCTTAGTTTAGAATGTAGCAGCCAGGTAATGTCCTAWACAAMACACTCWMGRCATTGCTACCAYCTTGGTCACTTAACTGAGWAAAGGGAATTTTTTAAAAGAGAGTGGTCGATTAGCGGACGAATTCGTCCGCATGCCTGTTCAAGGGTTAAACAAAACAAGAACTTGAAACTTTACTTTTAACATAATATGATCTCAGCTTTTAGAAAAAGGTTTGGAATTTAAAGTACAGCTGTCTTAGTAATGAAAATAAAGAACCTCAGGGGCCCCTCCCTCACGTATTTTCTTCTTGTAGTTTTCAAACATTTTCTGGTTCTTTGTGTAGAAATGCCCAGTTCCTGATTTCTGTTGTCTCTCACTCTGCATATCTCTCAAGGTAATCCTCTTTTTGTTCATTTTTGGTGTCAAATTTTGATCTTCAGTTTGATTCAAAGTTTGGCTGGTTGTTTTCKGAGCCAAGTGAGTCAATACAATTACTGGAAAGGACTTGCGATGACGGTCTGAGGTTATTTCTTCACTTTGGACTAGCCTTCCAGTCCATGCTGGTGCAGACACACGACGCCCTTCCCAGGCATGTTTTTCATTCATTTCATGCTGATTTATACTTTGAAGGTCAATTCTTTTTGGTTTTCCCTGGTTTGCCCATTGATACAACTCTCTATGAAGACTGTCTCCAAAACCAAGGCTGGAAGATCGAACTGATGGATCTCTGTTATTCTTGTTCAACCAATTTCTACCTGGATTGATATTTACATTTTTAGCTCTGGTAAATGTTTCCTCTTCATTTGCTCTTTCATCTTTATTCCATTCATTTAATTGTCTCTGGAGACTGTCAGTAAAACCAATATCATACGACTGACTAGCTTGCCTCCATGTTCTTTCTAAAGGGTGTGGTGGATGCTCAAGTGTACCTCTATTACTAGTATCGTCGAATATTGGATTAGTTCTTTTACCACCTGTTATCCACGGACGTGCAATTGACGAATCAAGTCTTGCTCTGCCGTCGTATATAGGGCCGTTATGGGGTTCTAGGTACGGCCACGGCCGGTAATTGTCGTCCTCGAATACTTTGTCTCTTGTCCTTCGTGAATACGACCAAACGATTTCTTCGATGCTTTGGAAATTTTCAAGTATTGTTGCAGATTCCTTTCTCAGTTGTTTTTGATTTTTCATCTTCCTAAAAGAGCGATGATATCATTAAATGTCAGTGACCACATGGCTAAAACAACTATAAAAACAACAAAAGTAATTAAAACAATGAAAATATAGCGATGTAATGGTAGCGGCGTTGCTCCGGAGTTGCAGTATTACCGCAAATGGCGCGTATATATGCACATGATGCATGGATTTTATTCTCGTTGTCATCATGAAGTGGATGGTTTGATTTGCAGTTCGAGGTATCCCATATAGTGCCGTTATGTTTTTAGTTTTTTTAGTTGGTTTCCCTTCGATTTCGAGATCATCTAAGTCCTTACAGTCCTTAATAGAGGTTTTCCGTGTGACGTCACCTTTCCTTGACAACGCGTTGGCGGCTATCTTGAAGGTCAACCAACAAGCTGTATACAAACTCTGAAGTCAGTTTTTCTGAAAATTCTGAAAATGACCCCTAAAAGGGACCTTTATTGTGAGATGATGGGCGTGGCAGTGATGAAGTATCACACCTAAGAGGGACCAATCAATAACAGAACATTTTGTTTTGGTTTCCCGGTTTTATTTGCGTTTTTGCACAATCATCGAACACCGTCGGCTCGTATTGAGTTTATGACGACGTTGCCATTTTATGACGGCTTAGGGTCGTCGTGTACTCTAAAAGGGACCACAAAACTCAGTTGGTGGGAATTCTCGTCATTAAAAAGTTGTTTCCCGAGTGTAATCAGTCATCAAGGTGAAAAAGCGATGTGGATCTTTCATTAAGGAGTATATAAATGATTAGCAAACCTATGTCGGAAAAAATGGACGCCGAATATAGCGAGTGAGCACATTCGAGTCTGTTCGGACCATTTCAGCCCATTCAGATTACTTGATCGATTGTCATTTATTTTAAGTTAAAATGTTGTTAATGTGATAATTTAAGCAAAGCAAAGATTATGGATAAATTTGTTCCTACAAAACTCCAAAATCTTACACTGAACGACCGTGATCTTTTCGTATTATCGATCGATCGAATTTCAACTTGAAATTTAAGTTATGTCTTTAAGTTATGTCTTTATCAACTAGTCATTTTAGGAAAACCACATTACACCTAACCGGTTTTTCGTTTTTTCCAGTGTTTATTAGTCTATTCAAGTTTTTGTTGCAAGGCAAGAGATGAGGCGTTGTTCGAAAGAAACGCTGCTAAATAATCCTTTATTTCCCTCAAGACAGTTGATAACCATTTGCCTTTAAAACTACCAGACATAAAATTCATCAAGTTAGTTTGTATCAGGGTTTGTATGAAAACAAAAAAACGATGACAAGCGTACAGCTGCCAGTAGACATTAGCCAATGGGAGCGAACGATTTCTATAGCTGCTATAGACTCGTTAATTACAAAAAAACATTCCAGTTCCTAAATGCCTAAATTTCTATTTCTTGGAAAACATTGAAATTTGTTGTGCTCAAATGCCATATGTATATAACTTATGTATATACTCTCATTGGCTAAATGTCTACTGGCAGCTGTGCGCTTGAAAAATCAAACGTAGTCAGTAAAACTATTAAAAGATATTTTGAGCAATTAAATGAAAAGTGACAGCTGGCGATCTCTTGATTCCTGTATAACCCGTTTTCAAGACAATCATCTGCTAATTAAGTACAAAAACTTATCTCAGTAAACATTTGAATTGATCTGTAAAGAAAGAGGGAGCTTAATCGACGATATACTTACATGGAAATACTTGTAAGATTCGAATAATTTCAAGTGTATCTTTAATGGCCTTTTGAAATTGTCAGTAAAAGTTGGAGTTTTTTGAATCAAAAACGTTGTGTATATAGAGTTAAACTGTTTTCGTGTTGCAGTAGTATTAGTCAGATGAATGGCCTCAAAAATATATTTGTATACCAAAAATACAACCAAAAGAGAAAGAAAAAAATTCAATAACGCGCGCGTCATTCCGGTTTTCTTTAAAGGATCTCATCCTGCATGTTACAATTCAGAAGTAAAGTGTAATGTAGAACGCACCTCACCATAGCTTGTTTTGCTATGGCAAATAACTCTACTAGCTTCACTAGTTTCGCCGATGCTATTAGTAGCCATGCGGTTTGTTTCACTTGGGAACCGATCTTTGATCCCAACGACATGAGCCGTCCTGATTCAGTTCACTCGACTTGGACCTTCCTTGCTGTTGTTAGTGGCATTGCCTCCCTACCGACTGCTGTCCTCAACGCGTTGATCGTATGGGTGGTATTTGATGACGAAGATCTTCGATCGTCCGCCTTCAATATTCTTCTGGCGTCCTTAGCACTGACGGATTTCCTTGTAGGATTGCTAGTTGAACCGATGTTTTGTGCGTGGCTTGCATGTCTTTTGAATGGATGTCATTCACCATGTCAATTCACTGTTTATGTTGCCCTGATGATAACATGCTGTGGTACGACCGCARTCACTTTGGCCTTCGCCTGTGTTGAGAGGTATTTAGCTATAGAACACCCCAACTTTTACCGCAGCAAGATTACAGGGAAAAAAGTCATGATAGGAACAGGGATTTTCGGGACAGCAACTCTAGTATACTTGTTGTATGGTAGTGCTCTTGTGAACCAGATTGGCCACGCCCCTGTCAAAGTCCCGTTCGCGACAGTCATACTTGTTAGTACTCTAGTTATCCTCTACTGTTCAACCAAAGTGCATCTGACAGCTTACCGTCAAGGTAGAACCATTTCCCAACAACAAGAATCAGTTCAACAGCCCGATGAACAGCAACAACAAGAACAACGGCGAAGGGAGTTCAAACAAGCGTTCATGGTTACCATAGTAATTGCTCTGACGATTTTCTTCTACACTCCACTCATTGTTGTCACAGCAATCGAGGCAGTCCAGGGGAAAGATGTGACGAGTGATTTTAAGTACCTCGCCGGGCCTATCTCTGGACTGTTTCTTTATCTTCAGTCTCTCATCAACCCAATCGTCATGTCACTGCGTCTGTCTTACATTCGTCAAGGCATAAAAAACAAGCTTGCTTGCCTTGCTGGGAACTAATCACTACATGTGCAGTATATGTACAGTTTGAAGAACGACTCTAAACTGAACTGAACACTGCAGGTACAATCTTTCTGTTGAACTTTCACCTTTTATAAGTGACTGAAGTCATATAATTTGCTTGTGATTAGAAAGTAGACTAGATATAGATAATATTTAAGAAATAAGGTTATCACGATTCTCTGTAATTGCGGGATTTGCGGGTCGCTCAAAACACTAATAAATTTACATTTAAAAAATTCGTTTTCCGGGTTTCTTCACTTTGTAAGCTTTCCACTACCATACGACGATGGACTTACCTTGCTTTTCGACGTAAAATACATGCCAGTATAGTGACAGTAAGTACAGCAGCCAATACCGCAACAGAGATCCATAGCACAAGAAGTGATTTGTCTTTGGCTGAAAAAGTAAAAAAATCTTTTAGAAACAACTAGGATATTTTAAAATCAATTTCCAGCTTAGTTTCCATCTGATCTGGTACAGCAGGCGTTGAAATCCATGCAATCAGTTTAATGCAATAAGGTCATAAAATCGTACCCATGAATATCTTCTGAATACCCGGATAAGTTCACTCTTGTAACAGTTGTCCCGAGAATCTTTTATCCGCGTTTAACAGTGCGTCAAAATCCTGTTCTTCGTCTGCGAAAAAACCCCTACCAAACGATAATGATACATTGAAGCTTATATTGTATTCTTAGGAATGCTTTTAAAATGTTTTTGCTCCAGTCATGCTCTGGTCCTTATAAGGATAAGGGGCTTTTATGTGTCGCATTTAATGGTTCATTTAAGAGGTTGATTGATGGCACTTCTTAGCCATAGAGCATGAATTTTAAAGCTTATACTATGAATATGTGTAGGATTTAACATCATTAAGGGGCCACCCGTTAGAATTAGAATAGAAAGGGGGGAATGGAAGATTTTCAGTCCGTGCAAGAATTTTTTTGGACTTCAGGCGCGCGCTTGTAATTTTTTGTATAAATTTATTTACAAAAATAGATTTCAAAATTTTGCCTTGCGGAACTTTTATCGGGCCTTCTAGCCCCTAAGAGGTGCTGAAAAGGCAAATTTCCAAAAACTCCAAATTGGCACCCTAAATGGCACCCTAAAAGATTCCCAATCGAATTTTTACCCCTAAGAGATCAGATCGACGAGCATCCCTGGTACTTTTACAAGCTTTTACCCTGATGACTGATCTCGGAGTGCTAGCCCAAGACGTTTTTTTGTACGTTAAGTAGATTGAGGAGGGATCATAGTGAAATGATATACTACAGCTATAAAAATAAAATCAGAGATTTTTTTGGCATATGTAGCAAACTGTTAATGACGGGCCTGGGTCTTGCAAGCACTGTTTTTTATAATGGAGCAAGCACTGTTTTTTATATGGAAGCTTCCTTGAAGTTATCCGTTTGACTCGTATAACATGGCAAGACATGGTTTTGAAAGTACGACTTCTCCAGACCACGTTTTACATACAATTCTCGGGCTTCCTTTGTTATTCGTTTTGCGCATCCCTGGCTACTAGTAGTTAGAAAGTTTGAGAAAAGAGACGGCCGGACTTTATAATGTCTCGAAAAACTCTCGTCTTTGTGACAGGAAATCAAAACAAATTGAAGGAGGTGAGTGATATGTAGAGTATTTACTTGTAATAAATATATTCAAGCCTTAAATAACATCCATAGGCTGTACTCTGAACGCTAGGTTAGGGGATGTATCAATGGAATGCGTGAAGGTGCTAATTTTGTCTTGTATAATCCATCCATATCATTGGTTAAAACATGAAAATTTGACATAGCAATTCTATGTGGGGAACATAGCAAATTAGAAGCATTTTTTGGCTATTTTTTTTAGTGCTTATGATTGGACAAGATCTTTTAATACAAAAGAAACTTTGTTTCAAAACAGAGTTTATTCACATTTTATTTTAAAAATCTGTTACCCATAGGTTGATATATAATCAGTGTGAAAACCAATACATTCGTATGTGGGGAAGTTGCAATTGCCGCAGAACAATAGAAAGTTTCATGCTTTTTGCGCACATTGTTACTTAAAATGAAACATTCCCCCTGGGGAAACCTTTTATAATTTTTTTTATTTTTGGACTTGGCTTGAGTCAATTTCATGCACTTTTAGGGGTTTTGTCAGGCGACCTATTTTGTCAAAAATCGTCTGTTAGAAATAAATGTCAAATCCAAGATCCCAGCAACATACCAGCCCCCCTCTCCCTGGCCCCCTGACACGTGCACCCATAGCCAGTTCCACAGTCCATTTTAATTGGTTCATTCCTCACCAGTTCAGAACATACAGATCAGAAGAGAGACAATTTAAGTAATGACACTATTTTTACCAAGTCAACAATCATTTTTACCAAGCAAACAAGCTCAAAGATACTTTGGTTCAAAGATCCCTTGTGCAACCATGGCCAGAATTTGACAGTGAGCTTCATTTTACAGGTTATTTCAATATTAGGAGAATCATTTCCATGGAAAGTTGAAGCAAGAAGTATAGATTGTAAGTAATTGGTATGTTAATTAGCTCATTCATCAAAAAACTAATTCATGCACGTAAATATTTAGAAATAATTTCATTGTGGTTCTCGGAAAACATTGAAATTCAGTTAGTTCCCCCTGTCATTTTTGAGCCATCTGTAGAGCTGTGTAGTTCAATTAGATTTTAATCATTTATTATTATATATTGTACTGTAGTACCTGAGTTTCAAGGTGAATCGGATGAAATTTCAATAGAAAAATGTAAAGTGGCTTTTGAAAAGGTAACTACACTTTTTATTCTTTATTATTATCAGTATAACTCAGGTACCTCTCCAATTGTGATATCTTAATCACATACGAAAATGACCTTTTGCAAATGATCTTACTTTGAAATGACAAATAATTGTGCTTTTTCATTGGCATTTAAATATTGATTAAACACACTGGCTGCTGATCACCTTAGCCTGGTAACAAAGCCCTTACTATGGTAACCATCCACAGTCTGATGATTGACACCTGTCATACTGACAACAGTCAATGGAGATTTATACTTAGCATGTGATGGTCTTTGACACCAGGGAGAGGTGGGTGGGGACAGTACATAGCACCCACAATATGGTGAGCATCAGCATATCTGTAACTGCTGATCACATCACTGGAAGACAACAGGAGCATGGACTGCCACACTAAGCATGCCTCATTCAAAAAATGCAACCAATAGACTAGGCTGTGTTGTTCAAAGCTTTAAGTAGACCCTGACAGCAGGGTTGACTTGTGCCACTAAACATGTTGAAAATTGCATGTGCAAAGAAATGAGACATCAAAAATCACTAGCATTTAAAATGGCTTTTGAATTTTCAGAGTTGGCCAAATTTCTAGTAAAAGACGGCTATGAGTCTGTACAGTTGTTTACAAATTAAATTCTATCTTCGACAACAATTTTGGCATTATAAAGTGGAGTCAAGTTTGTGTTGTCAGGGCAGCCATGTGGTTTGCCAACTGAAAATGAATTCAGGACTACCAGTTGTAACTTGATTGTCTCATAACTTGACATTGAAAGAGAACAAACCCTCTGCACTCTTTAACTAGTGTGACCAGAGGCTTGGCACGAACAATGAGAGTTTGAACATTTCTAGTGTGCTTTGTTATTTTATTTCATCATCTACAAAAATATTTAATTATTCATTTATGCCATCTTGAATTAATGTTGTTGGGTCTTAAAAAAGTGATATTATCTAAGGTAACACTGTTCAAGGAGATTCAGAAATTCAAATAAAATTTACCTAAACATGTCTATAGCCTAACTTGAAGGGGAGGTCATTTTATTCAGAGCAGGCAATCAATTGATTCCACATCACTGCAAGTTATATTCATAATACCCATGATACCTTTTGGTCTAAGCTTTCACCTTTTGAAACCTGACTACATTTGTTCAAATATTAGGTGCACATCACTGCTAATAAGAGATATATATTCTTTCTCATTTTACAGATACAGGGCCCTGTAATTGTAGAAGATACATGCTTATGTTTTAATGCATTAGGAGGCCTACCTGGTCCATATGTGTAAGTCATATCCCCAGCGGAGAGGGATACTCCCTGTACTAGAGGCGATCGGCCAGTTGATCATGTGTTTGATCTTAGCCAATCAGAGCATGGTTTCAGACTGAAGGAAGGCACCATCCCACAAAGCATTGCAAACTGAGAATATTTTTCTTCTTGCAGTATTAAATTGGAAATAGAACGAGTAAAAGTGGAAATTTACCATACAAACTGGCAGTGACATATTTTAAGTTAAACGATTAAGTTTTGCCTTTTTCAACAGCAATAATAATGCGAACGCTGAATGATGGGATGGTGCCTTCATTGAATCCACCAAGCTTTCCTTGTGTACGCTCGCTGATCGCCTGGATCTACTATACACTCAGGGACATTCTGCCAAATAGTGTGCATGTCTTTGGCCTTCGTGTCTTGAATAGCATGACCTTTCATTGTCTTGAATGGGTGCACTTTCTATGTCTACCATATCTCATACATTGGGTCAATATTTATCTAGTAGACTATTAAGTCAAAAATGCAAAAAGCAATAGCATGCTGACATCTTTTACTAGCCTTCATTTTTCCCCTTCCCCACTCCCCTAGAGCCGCTACACAGGCTAATCTTTTACGAGGGTAACATCTGTCAAATACACTTGAAGCTTGTTAATTCAGTCACACAAAAAAACACCAAGTCACTCCCTAAACCAGGGACCGTGGAGCAGGGGGGGCTGGGGGGCTACAGCCCCCCCCCAATAATATTTCCGACATTTTGAATTTTCTTAAATAAAGAAGTGAAGAGCCTCCTTATGAAGTCTTGGGATTTTATTGATAATATTGCTGGCCGTGTCTGCGGTAAATATGTCTTGGATAACGCCTCAAAACGCTGGAAATGGCATTTCCGAGAGTTAAGATTTCAGAAATTTCCAACCCCCCTAGTACCTCCTCGCCGCTAGCCCCCCCAAACAAGATCCTGCTCCGCAGTCCCTGTAAACAGTGATTTTTGCAGTCGACCATAACGCATTGCTTTGCATTGAGATTGGTCTAGCATTTTGTTCAAAGCTCCAAAACCTTGCTATTTCTGATAGATATCTGCTATGGCAATGCAAGATTGCATATGGTTGAACTCCTTTTATGTCAAAATAGACAGCACAGGCACATGCAAGGATGTTCCACAACAGACATTATTCCTTTTATATTGTTTGTAACATATGATTGATTGCATTTTCTTTTATATTCAGTAAGTGGTTTTTGAAGAAAATTGGTCCTGAAGGTATGTAAATATAGATAGCAAGTCTGGTTAACTGATAGTCTAAAATAGCAATAATATCTTGCAAACTGATTGACAAAGATAGCAATGATGTCTGGTTAACTGATTGACTAATATATTCATGTTTGTGAAATTGCACTGGCTAGTCTATTGATAGACAAACTTCACCACCGTTTTTAGTATTCAAGCAGAGCCAATCTTAAAGTAATATTACAAATGATTAAATTAAATGAATATTTTTACCAGGTCTGTTCCGTATGTTGACTGGCTGGGAAGACAAATCTGCATATGCTCTATGTACTTTTGCTTATTGCTCAGGAATAAAAGATGAACCAGTTGAGTTATTTAGAGGCAAAACATCAGTAAGTCATCAGATGGTTGTCTTTGTGGAGGGGCTGGTGGTCATTGTTTTTGCTTTAAAAAAAATCACTTGTCTTCACAATCAAGAAAATATTATTTTGGTTTTGCTTGAAATACAAGTCAACTTTTACACATACCATACATTTTTACAATACTTGGTTGAATTGTTGCATGCTGATTGTCTGGTTAATAGTGTGTCAATAAAAGGACAGACACACTGTGCTGACATCATAACAATATCAAGTACTGTTTGTTAGTCAAAAGACAATAATGATTTCTGCTACTTTTTAGACCAAAAATGTGACTGTGTTTTCAGCTTTGCTTCCGGAAACATCAGCGTCTCGGGACCACAAAACATGCTGTTTCCCTCGGTTCCAGTAAATAAGGGTTAAATGTATTTAATAATATTTTCTATGTCATATCAGGAAGTTTGCTAGAGAATTTTTACAAAAAAATATCTTTTGAACACAGAAAGATAAAATCTCCATATCTGTGTACACAGAATGGTCTGATTCTTTGCCTCTGATCCAGTGTTTTTGTATTTTAAGGGTAAAATAGTAGAACCAAAAGGTCCAAGAAACTTTGGATGGGATCCCTGTTTTAAGCCAGATGGCTTTGACCAAACGTAAGTCAGTGCAGTATAAAATACTATTGACAGAAGATAATAATTATTCTAAGAATTCAGGCATGAATCCAGTTGTTTAGGTAATGGATGGAAAAAGCTATTATAAGGATTAGTCTAGTAGATTGCTATTCAACCTTGGTCCAACTGTACCCAGCAAGCCAGGCAATTCTGTTTCCATTGGCAGGAGTAGCCTGTGAAGGAGGCTAGTCCCCAGCTAGGCAGAATAGAACAGTCCCCTGGTGCGTAGACCGTCAGCAAGTATAATGTAATGTTCCATTTTTGTTTTTAGTTATGCTGAAATGCCTTCTGAAGTCAAAAACAGCATATCTCACAGAGGAAAAGCCCTGCAAGCTTTAAAAGACTATTTTATGAATATTGATAATGATATACAAAATGAAAACAAAAAAGCAAAGATGGATGATTAAAAAGCAATAGCCCTTTTTACAGTTACAAGCTAATCGAAGCAAAATCAGGGAACATATTTGCTACATTCCTTAGCAATGGGGTCAGTACTTCATGTAAAACCCTCCTTGAATTGGCACTTACTGAATAATATATTACTGTATTGGTTAGGTTTAGGCTACATATCTGACTGGGTCTTACATGAAGTATTTACCTCTCAATAAGCACATTTTTCATCGGGAGGGGGGGCTGGTGGTTTTGAGGGGGCGCCACCCAAACAAGAATCCTATACTTGTATATTCAATTCTACATATTTCTCAAGAATCAAGAGTGGGGGTCGTCAATAAGACATGGTCAAGGGGGTAATCCAACTAGGGGGCTGTTTTTTTTTTAGAAAACCACCAGTCCTTCCCACCTGATAAAAATGAATGGTCTCACACATCTTGTTTTAACTATGAAAATGGCTATTAGAGTGAACACACTTTATCCGTGAACTTTAAATGAACCTCTTTCTACTATTTATTAACTGGTCTTCTGATAAAGAACAATGGTGATTGAGAGGCAGTTCTGCTTCAGTGGCAGATTTAGTGTAATTTTCATTTTGTAGCATTTCACTGATTAAATGTGTTCATTCTAACACTTGTTTTATATTTTTGGTATTTATGCCATTATGATGGATTAGTCGAAAAGCTTGTAATAAAGAAACATTGCAAAAACACAGTGGAACAACTTTTTATTGTTGAACTATTACAATGTTGTCCTACATGTTTGACACGGAATCCAGTGACAGTCCAAGTCAGAGGAATCTGAATCTGCTAAAATGGTGGAGTCTGGCATCTACCGTGATGTACAACAATGGACTCCTTTTTGGGGGGCAAACAATGACTGACTTTGAAAGCAGATGTCAGAACATCATTTCGTGGGATGGCTACTTTATGTTAATAATTATATAGATCAAGCACAAAAAGACACTTGTAAAACAAAATGCAGGTCATATGATAGCAATAAATAAGGTAAGTTCATGTAAAATCTTTATTTCACAATAATATTAATAAAATTTGGAGCTTAAGATGGATCCATACAGGTTTGAGTGCTATTAGACCACTTCTGTGTTTTTTAACCATGGTGTACCAAGGAACATCTTACAATGTGTTACAATCATCTATTGCAGTCATCCCAGAATGCCTCAACACTATTTGGAGCTATCTTAAACTAGCTTTTGGTATGGTTTGTTTATAGGAAAGCTTAAATGAAGCCTAAAGCATTTCCCATTTACAATTATTACAGAGAGGACTAAGAATCAAAATGGCATAAAAATGTGATGCAAATACACAATATTTTACATAGTTTTGGGTATAGTCAGCAAAATATTTTAAAATTACTTTGTTTTTCATTGTACATTCAAATTGAAAAAGTAGAAAAAATATCATTGCTGTTTTTATTTAAAATATCAAAAATATGTCTTTGAATTTTAAAAAAAGGAGAAAATATCATCTTTGTTTTTCCTTTAAAAAATCAAAAATGTCTGTTTGAATTTTTCAGAAAAGCTCTTTTACTAGTTGTACAAATGTTTTGACATTGATAAAAGCACTATCCTCCTTAACCAAGACCATCTTGCCGTCCTCGGATACGTCTAGCCAGCTGAATATCTTTTGGCATAATGGTCACTCTCTTTGCATGTATAGCACAAAGATTTCTGGATAGTTTTGTTAAGGAAATACTGTTATTGGATATACAGGCCTCTATATTAAAATAACAAGACAGTCTAAATTACATTTGCATTAGAAAATTTGTTTAAAATCTGAGTCTAAAGAACTTCCCCTGATTTTTACAACATTTGAACATTTTTCTGACCAAAATTTCCTGAACCTGAAAGATCTTATAATTAACTGACGGCAGATCACTGACTGTGTGAGTGTACTTTCATTTTCAGATCATGAAAAGAATTCAAACTTTAATCAAAAATTTACAGGAAACACTATCTTCTTTGATACACAATAGTTTTTGTAGTTCCTAGCACCATCTTTAAAGCTATTCATTTGCACTGAAGTAGTATGCTCTGTTATGTAACCATCAACAACTATACACCTGAGTCAATAATATATAATACTAAATCTTGATAAAGGATACGCATCTTCAAATAATCTTACTAAAAAAGCTTCTGCAGACTGTAAAACAATACCATAAATTACCATAAATAACAATAATATAACATAAAAATATCAGTAGAGTATATATATAAATAGTAGATTGTTGTTACCCCTAAAAACAGTTTTCTCAAAGAACCAAAGAAACTATGTTGTAGTTACCACCATATTGAACACCGGATCAAGTAGTTCTAATTATCATTCATTAGTGACAGTAATTCTAATATGGCTGATATAATTAATATTTATTGTGTACTGCTGTCGTAATCTGATATAATCTATCACAGAGTATTATGTCACACCCAAATATATACGATTGTAAACAGTTGTACACATTACATCAATAAAGAATGCAACAAAGCAATGATTATGATCTAACTACTGCAATCTTCAAATATCTAGAATCTTATGCCTACTGCAAGGTTGCACACACATTCTTTCCCTCATCCTTATCAATTTTGTAACAATTTATTGACAAACAACATTGTAAAAGTGGAGGTCGTAGTAACACAATCATAGACTGTGTTTCACATGATTTTGCAAAAGATATTACTATATGGAGTTACTAAGTGCAACATCAGACAAGGTATATACATGACTTTACTCTAGTTTTAAATGTGTTAATATGATTACCTCCTGTAGAGCTTGAAGAGCACCGACTTGCCATCTTAACTCATGACCTTGATAAAATTTGTTGGCTAGTTCCCTGACCTACAATAAAATACCACAAAATATTATCCATAATCAAGAGAGCTCAGTAGTTAAAATTTCTAAATATCATAAGTAGTGCCAATGTTAAAAAAATAAAAAAAAACAATTATAATAATAAAAATATATATAATTATTAGTCAAAAGCTAGACACTGCATTACAAGGCTCCCATGTAGAGATTTGTGTAATTTTTGAAAAACAAATCTTGTGATTGGTTGAGAAATAATAGATGGTATTCAAAACATTCAAACAAAACCTAAACTAACATTCAAAAACTTGAAATACCTAATGTTTGCAGCTTTTCATAATATAATGTATAACATATTTTTGCTGGCATTGCTGTAATTCAGTTCTAAACTGCAATGGGATAATAATATTGTCTTACCACTCTCATAAAAGGTGCTCTTCTAAGTAAAAGATGTGTTGTCTTTTGATAATGTCTAATCTCTAGTAATGCTCGTGTACCAGGTCGATATCTTCTATGACTACCACCACCTATTATCAAATAAAATATTGAGATTATGTTTGGGTTTTTATGCATTATGGCATACTGATATACCATTAGGATATGGATTCATACAACTGTTGCCAAATTCTTTGCACCATTACAGTGAATTTCCTTATTTTAAGCAACACCCACAGACAATTTCATCCCCTGTAGCCCCTTAAATGCAATGTTGTCATTGTTACCATAATACACAACCATCCAAAGCAAAACCCAACAATATTGATGAAAGGGGGCTAAGGGGGGAACTGTCAAAAAATGTTAGACATGAGACAAATTATTCTATGGTCCAAGTTTTTTTTGCAACAAGTTACGTTAAGATGGAATTCCCAAGTTCAAACATAAATATGTAAAACATCTGTAATGAGAGCCATTGTTTCAATATTTTGCATTATAGGTACTCAGGAGAGCAAAGACCTCGCCCACACACATAACACTTGCACTCGTTCCTTATTGACTCTGTCTGTCAGGAGCCCCATTACTAGGACAGTCCATGATTTCCTTACTGACTGTCTGTCAGGAGCCCCATTACTAGGACAGTCCATGATGTATTTATTTGGTTTGGATACAGCATTTTTATAGATGTGTCTATTTTTAGAGCTTTTKAACCAATGAGCTAAAACTTCTGATGTTACACAAGCACAGAAATCCAGGAGAAACCAAAATAAATTCATTAGCTAACAAAGTGAATGATGGTAAAAGCAAATTTTCTTAAAATCTTTCTGAAATAAGTGATAACAAAGAAGCTACAACTGAAGAAAAGAATGAAGAAAAAAAAAACACCCATGAAAACACCGTGACACTCCTGTAAACTAGCTATCACTAGCAGGGAAATAAAAAGATAAAATGTAAGAACATATGCTGACTTGACCTGTATGAGCCAAGTGATTTCAAACATTGTACATCATGTTAGCATTAAAACGTGACCTGTTGACTGCTGATAATGCATTACATGTAAGATGAGATATCATGATTGTCACCAGTACAAGCACCATCTCATAAAAATACTGGACCTATTGAACTACCAAAATATCAAAACTTTGAAGCGCAATCGAGCCCATCAGGAGAATCAGAAATAGAATTTAAAATCAATGCGAAACCCAATCAGACTCTATTGTATATTTTCTTGCTAGTGGTAGGGGAATAACTTCAACGTCCTAAATAACGAATTGTACTTTTTAGTCATTGAATTAATTTCAGAATCAAACCAATAGCATAAATATGAACTTGGAACTGTCAGTAAAATGATGGCGATGCTTCAACCTCCAGCCTCTCAATGCAAGCATTTGTTTGACAATCCAACCAACATTTGATGGATGTTGTATGGACTATCTAACATTTTTCATTCAGCCGCGACTTGAACAGCTTCGAATAACATGCAAACCATAAAAGATTGTCAGTGCTTAGCTATCATAACTGCTTGCAAAGATGATGCTGATGATGATGCTGGATAAACATCGAAACACCGCTGTGGCTCTCAACAACAAATGAGCATTGCATCGATTCACGAGTAGGGAAGACTGTCTTTACATTTCATAATTTCATAAATTAAGTAATATGTAGAAAACTCCCTTACTTCTCCGTCTCGTAGAGCTTTCATGAGTAACAGTTTTCCTTGGAGTACGTCTAGGCGATTTTGCAGGTGACTTTTTTGCAGGAGACTTGTGGTAGATTACAGACGTTCGGTGTAGAGGAGTTGAAGTCGTCACCTGTTTCGGCCTTGAATTTTTTCTCGGATTACCAGTAGATACTCGTACCATTTAGGACTCTTTTTTGACGCATAATACGTCTTTTACTATTAATGTGTTTAAAATAAATTCAATTTAGTTCAAAGAAAATCTGAAAATTGGCAAGCAACGCTTGTCTGAAACCAACGCTTGCTCTGTTTTATACGATGAGCTCTGATTGGCTGATATATCTTTCTATTTTAATCAGCCAATCAGTGAACGTTTTATAATTCCTATTTTGGCGCCCAATTTTCCGCTGACCAAGCATCGTGGTCTCCCTTGTTATGTTTTTGTCTCAACTCAGCTGTACCATGTGGACAACGAGTTTTTCTTGAACCATGTTTCTCACACAAGTAAATGTTTTGCAATATAATTGTAAAATATATTGCTCTTAATCATGACGCACAACGAGAAAAGGATCGGTTGGCTTCAAGAGGGTCTTATAGGCCTTGGTGGTGAGTGATCAATATTTTAAGCTTCACAATACGTGTTTTTCCTCCATTCTTCCATTCATAGTTAATCGAGGGGAATATTCCAACTTCGATTAACTATGCTTCTTTAATCAGTTTGTCACCTGTAATAAGTGTTTTACATATCTTACTATTTTTTCTGTATATAATCTTAGTTTTACTAGAAATCGCTTATGACTGTCCCAGAACTCTTTTGAATTAAGTTTATATAGTTCACAACGACCCGAAAACACCAAAAAACACATTTGAGTCAAAGGTAGCTCAAACTTAGGGGATTATTTTATGAGGATGTAAGATCCTAAATTTGGGAGCAATTATAGAATACCTGTCCATTTTTTCAAGCATAAGGAAAATGACTGTCCCCATAGTCCCACAGTGATTGCAAAGCATGATGAGAAAGTATCACACAGTTGAGTGCTTCTGCGGTTCCGCAGTGATTGCAAAGCATGATGGGCGATAGTTTGCTTCCAAACTCTTAAGGCTGATTTACACAGTACGATTTGTCGCGCGCGACTTGTAGTGTACGATTTTCCTACTACAAGTCGTAGGATTTTAAGGAGTGGTTCAAAATCCCACTACAAGTCGTAGGTTGCATACGACTGTTGTAGACAAGTCGTAGGGGCATTTACACTGCRCGATTCAAGTYGTATRCTACAAATCGCACGAGACAATCGTGCCGTGTAAATCAGCCTTTAAGAATGAGAAAGTATCACAATTGAGAATACTAATATAAGTTGGATGGGTTGTAAACACGAAAAATTGAATGGTATATTTATATTTGATGGGTTCCTGTGTAGCACTGTGCGACTACGTGACTGCGGGAGCACCAAAATAATAAGCAGAATGCCGCGATCGCGAAAACCCGCCATCATGGTTGTTTGATTGAGTGTACGAAATGATAACAGCACCACAATTAAATGCAGGCACTGTGTGACTATGGGACTGAGGGAGCAGCGATTTTAAGACAATTCGTGTGAATGGGTATTCTATAGTCTAGACTAAATTTGCATTGAACCCTGTAAAAAGTCATTCCTTGGAAGCCAAAGAAAAACAATGTGGACCCTCCGACATGCTCATGATCTGAAGGTGCATGATTTTTATGTTGTTTACTATGTTAAAAACCATTTTGAAGAGGCAAAAATGTATCAAGAAGTATTCTTCGTTTTCAATCTAGTGATAAATCAGGAAAAATTACCTTGTTCTTGAACATAGCTGATGATACTCTGAGAAGAAGGCAAAATCAAATACTTTCAATCATTTTCTACAATAAGGGGGCTAGGTGGAGTTTGGGAGGGTCTTCTTGGTAAAAGGTTTTGACTTTTATGACATTGATTCAGGGAGTCTTTACAAGAAAGTAAATTATAAAAATCATGATATTTTTTTTAGTTGGTGTTTTATATGGCACAACCAGTGTAGCTGTTGGACACCCATTTGATACTATTAAGACCAAAATGCAAGCACAAGCAGGCTTTGAAAAGACTGGTATGATTAGTTCGTTTGTGAAGACCTTACGTCAGCAAGGAATTAAAGGTCTTTATAGGTAAAAACATGCAATAGTAAATAGAAATTCTCATTTTCATTTTAATGTTGCCAAACAATTACTGTCCTTAGATCACTCCAGGGGTAGTTACTGACAGGGGTAGTCTGACAGGGGTCGTCTGACAGGGGTCGTCTGACAGGGGTAGTCCGATAGGGGTAGTCTGACAGGGGCTGTCTGACAGGGGTAGTCTGACAGGGGTAGTCTGACAGGGGTAGTCTGACAGGGGTCGTCTGACAGGGGTTGGCTGACAGGGGTTGGCTGACAGGGGTCGTCTGACATGGGTCGTCTGACAGGGGTAGTTTAACATCCACCCGTCACATTAGGTCTGTTTCATACTTTGTTTCCTTTGTACTGCAGCACTGTAAACAAAGCTAKWCCTTTTCCTTGTTCACTCTTGATGYTCTTATCTTRCATTTTGCTTGACACATCTGGGCATATCAACTTGTGAATAGATTAGATATGGATGTATAAAAACAGTTACAATTTGCAATAATCCAAGTCATAGATTTTTTTCCTTGGTTGGCAAAGTTTCATTCACTTAATATACTAATGTATGTATTTTTTTTATTTAAGGGGGTGTGTCCCACCATTGTGGGGTTCTGGTATTTATAGATCAACACARTTTGCTGTATTTGAGGCAATGTATGAATCAATCTTAATTATTTGCTTTTGTAAGCAACCTGTCATTCATTTAATCCCTTATTCCTGTGTAGTTCAGGGTATAAAATTTATTTATTTTTTTCTACTTGCAAGGATTAATTAACCTGATGAAATGTAATATTTTAGTACATGTACC